GCCCTTTGACCATGAAATTTTAATTTCGAATATGACAATAACACCTTACGTAAATGTACGTTTTGTTTCATAAAATACAAAATGAAAGAGCGTCTTTCAATAGCTTAATTAGTACGTCATTCCTTTACACATATGTATATGTATATATGTAAATACATATACCCAATAAACATTTTGGCGAACGTTCGAAAATGACCATTCGATATGAATATCGAACAGAGAACCAACTCATAACCAACCTTAGTTGTCCAACGTTCATAGTATATTGGAAATACATTCGAGATGGGTTCGAAAAAAAAAATGGAAACCATAGTAACAAGAGAGAAAGTGAAATCCAGCTCATTCTTGAAGGGAAATATAAGAAAACCACTCTCTCTCATTAAAATTCCAATTCGATAATGGGCGAATTCATAACGAAAGAAAAATACATTGGATAACGCAGGTTCCGTTTTCTCGAATCGAATACTAACCTATTTCATATACGTTATCGAAGGTGAGACTCGAAAAAAAGATTGATTTCGAGTTAAGACGTGGTCCAATTTGCCCAAAAAAAATTTCACAGCTTATCGATGATATGATAAGAAAATGTACCAAGTTTCAAACTTTTACCTTCATTTTTTCGAATTAATTCCAAAAAAAAGGCGATCCAGACCGGGCTTCGTTTTATAATGTGTACCCAATGCATCTGACGAATACGCTGCATTTTATTAAATACATTTTAAATTTTTAAACAAAATATAAAAATAACTAAGTGCAACTTTTTTGTCAATCAGGCTTTTGCCTTAAAATAACTAAATATACAGCACTTTTTGAACTTTAGAGCATGGCTTAAGCAATTTTCAACAATAATTATGCCATTGACGCAAGCTTTGATAAAAATATTTGTTCAATTTGTGTTAATAACCGACAAGAATTCAGTTTTCAATGCTCGCCGAACGACAAATCAAATTTTTTTTTTTGCGAACACAATTACATTAATTCCGCCAAACTGGGTCATTTTTTAATTGCTGGCTCAGTGCACATGTGAATGCGAATGCGAATGCGAATAAAGCAGTAAATAACATACAAACGTATGTTTAATAAAGGGACGTTGTTCAGTTTCACCTTAGAAATACTTAAAATACTTGAAATTGCGTACAGTAGCGCATTCAAAAACGAAAGACTTAAGAACCGAACCGTCAAATCAAATTACGCTCACAAAACAAACTTCTTCGACAAATAACTTTCAATTATTTGCTTGCGCACACATTTTTTTTGATATCAGTTATATGTCAATTTGTAAGTGTTTGTGTTTTTTATTTGCGCTCAAATGGTTTGCTATTTAAGTTTTGATCAGCAAATGGGCAATGAATGATCTTACTCTTCGCCAAAGTAACTGTGTATGTTTGTACATATGTATGTCTGTTTACAAGTATGTACATACATATGTATGTGCACAGCTCAGGCAATAAATTTTAGCAAAATATGTATGCCCTTGCCGTTGGAACACAATGAATGCCCCTGAGGTAGTACAAGCTGACAAGTTGGCATATAAAAATAACTCATTTGCACTTAACTACGTACGTACATATGTATGTATGTTACAATTATGAGTATGAATACTATTCTTGTATGCAAAATAAAAATAAAAAAAATACTAATAATGTGCTTTACGGGAGCTTAACAAAATGTCTGATTTCGTTGCTTCCTCTTTGTGGCACCTTGAAGTGGCTTTTGTTCAAAATAAATCGCAAAAACTGCAGCATTCAACTCAAATGAACTTTTAATTGTCGCGCATGTGTTTGTTGGCGCGTATATACATACATATGTATGTATAGCATTGCATTTTATGTAAAAAAAAAAAATTCGCATTCGCTTAAGTAAGTACAACAATTTTGTTAGACATGTGGCTTTGAAGACATGAGAGAGAAAAGAGGGCTTATATTCAATACCACTCTCCATCTGCAACATTCACAAAAACTAATTTCTGATTAAAGAACCCTTCTTGCATTCTAAGTTTGCCAACCAATGGTTAATTCTATCATCTATGTATTTATATATAAGGTTAACATTGACATCAACGATTACAGGTAACTCTTAAGTGGATTCTTTATCTGTAGCTCATTTTTGTGAAACCTGCGAATAGCGGGTATTGAATATAAGCCTTCGATATGTACGTACATTAGGGTGGTCCTTACGTCGATGCCACTGTAGCCGAAGTTATCACATATAAATTTAGGTCCCGAATACAGGCGGTTAAGGCGTGTCGCTGGGGGGGCAAAGTTTGGATTCCTCTGTGGAGACTCAAAAATAAAAATCGATACTTCTATAGTCGAAGATATCACACAGAAATTTTGGTCCCGATTGGAGTCGGTTAAGGGTGTTGTACAGAGGGGTTGAGTACAGGGGGTCGTACAGGGATCAAAGATCAGGTTACCCTATGAAGACGTCTTAACCGACTCCAATCGGGAAAACTTTTTTTTTTTTTTGATTTTTTGGGTCTTTATAGAGGCATCTGACCTTTTCACAGGGTATTGTAGCCAGGAAACTGCTGTTGCAGGACTTCGACTGGAACACATTACTTTTTTCCAATCTGTAATTTACTAGATTCTGAAGGCACGTATATGCGCAGAACTGGAGAGGGCTTGAATGAAGTTTCCAGGCAAGCCTTTCTTCCGCGGTCTAACAAACATAAAGGATATTAACCTACTGCCGCGTGTTACTATGTCCTTTAATTTCACGGACCTGTTATTTTGCAAAAACACTGCTGGACGGTGTAATTTTCACACAAAAATAATAAAAAAATTTATATGGAAATCTCTACGTGTCTGGAGATTACCTTCGAATATCTTTCTCTGTGTAATAAATAGAAAGATCTCGCTTTAGGTTCAGGATATGCTTGCCTTTACATTGCGACAAACGCGTGAAGAGTCCAAGGAGAATAACAAGTAAAGTATTTCGCAACGAATTTCGTTTTCAAAAATATGGCACAAAGACGAAACCGATCTGTCTCCGACATATGCCCCGATATATATATATATGCTTATAATTATGGTGTTACATATTTTTAGGCTTATTTTTTAACATAAGAATTCGAGCTGTCAGGGTGTATATTTTCAGGCTCCACTCTTTTTTTATATAGGGATTTTAGCGTAGCGATTATCAGAACATCACTGTTTTACCCCGACCATAAATCTGTACCAAATAAATATAAAACACATCTGTACTACTTAATTATACGAAATCATTGTTTTTATCATTAAGAAATTTATTTATTAATTAGTTTCTTTATATATTTACAGAAACTCCTTCCTATTCTTATCTCAATCAATTATCGCACACTCGATTCAGCCCCATTCCGCCCAATACACGCCAAGTACGCGCTAACATAACCTCAATCCACTCATCATGAAGCACACCATCGAACAATTCGCCGAAACAGAATTATCCGAACAAATTCTAAAGATTGCCAAACGCGAATTGCGCGAAGATAAGTGTACGCGGGAGCAGAGTCTGGAACAACTGCGCAACTGGATATTGAAACATGAGGATATGCGCGATGTGCGGCTGGACGAACAGTTCCTTTTGCGCTTCCTGCGTTGCAAAAAGTACAGTGTGCCCATGGCACAACAAACTCTACTCAAGTACTTGAATGTGCGCCGCACTTTTCCACACATGAGCACACAGCTGGACTTTCTGGAACCCAAGCTGAATGACATTATCAGCAGTGGCTACATTTTCGCCTCACCGCAGCGCGACAAGAACGGACGTCGTGTGGTGGTGATCAATGCCAAAGGCTTCAATCCAAAGTTATACAACAGCAGCGATCAGGCGCGTGCACATTTCCTCACCTACGAGTGCCTCATGGAAGATCAAGCCACACAAATCTGTGGACTCATACATGTGGGCGATTTTGCCGGTGTCACCACGACGCATGTGACCAATTGGAATCCGACCGAATTTGCACGAGTTTTCCGTTGGAGCGAACAATCGCTGCCGCTGCGACACAAAGAGATACATTTGGTGAATGTGCCGGCGACGCTCAAGTGGCTAATCGATTTCGTGAAGGGGCGCGTCAGTTCGAAGATGCGCGATCGGTTGGTGCTCTACACACAGGACAAAGAACTGGCGAAGCATGTCGATCCGACGTGCCTGCCACAAGAACTGGGCGGTCATATGCCTATGAAAGCGATGGTGGAGTTGTGGAAAGAGGAGCTGGTGGCCAGGCGTGAGGCCATAATCAGCTTGGACAAGAGCGCGCTGCTCAGCGATCGTGGAATTTTGCGGAAAAGTAGCTTCAACGCGGAGAAAAGTACTAATGGATTGAATTTCGCCTCCCAGATCGAGTCGATTGAGGGGAGTTTTCGCAAACTGGAATTCGATTAGGCTAAAAGCAGCGAAGTTTTACTGGAGAAGAGAAACAAAAAAAATAAAAAAAAATACAAGAAAAAACGAGCCAAGCTCGCCGGTGCTGTGTTGATGTGCGTGTTGTGTTAATTTACATTACTTAAAGTTAGTTTAATATTTCGTAAAGGAAATAATTACAATTACAATTGTTTAGCTTGCAGTAAGCAGTAAGTTGCATAATGGTTTGCATTGCGTCATTTAGCATATGAGTTGAGGGCTTTGTTTAGTATTACGTATAGCAAGTTAACATATGCAACAAAAAGTTATTTGTCTCTATGTACACATACATATATATTTATACAATTATACTACTAGCTTACCATGCATACGAATATGCACTTATACATACATATATGTAACTATACGATTCAATGCTTTATCGTTGCAACTGCGCAATATTTGAATAAATAAATAATTTGCTTATTTTAAAAAATAACTAATACCTTCTAATTTTGAATTAATTTTTTGGCTTGCCATGAAGCAAAAAATTTAACTGAGAATCATATCAAACAAATACACATATGCACATACATTTATGTAAAAATACATATGGACATTGAGCAGGTAGTGCAAAAAAAATCGATACCCTAGTCAAATCACTTCCAACAGACCATCGAACTGTTTCCACTGACCAATGGCGCCAAAAAGCGCCTTTCCGTCATTATAAGCGTCGCTTGAATTCTGCAGGCCAAATATTTTATATTTGCGCTGGAGCTTCTTTTGTCGCACCGACTCAGCAATGAGCGAAAGAGCCGAGCGCAGCTGCATCGCATTGGGCGCCGATATCGTGTAGTTGCCTGAATGAATGGCATATAAAAACGGTAGTTTTTTTTTTTAGTGTGCTCACCAAGATGATGCGCCACAAGACATACCTATGAATGCAATCACCAGCGTGGCATTCTGTGGCACCACCACCAATGGCAGCCCACTTTCATAGTTCCAACCGCGTGCCTCATAGGTCTGTCGATCGCCGCCAATCAGAAAGTTAAATGGAATCTCCTGAGAAGTGCCATGCTTTTCTTGATACTACATATAAATACATACATACATACATATATCCATTTATTTACATGTTGTTGTTAAAGAAATAATTGGGTGTATTCGAGCTGCAATAAATGCGGCAGTGTTGTTATTTTATTAAAGTGCCTTACGCTCTACCCGAAAAATTGGAAAAAAATATTGACAAACCGTTGCTCATCACTGGCAACCCTGATGCAATATAAAATTTTTCAATGCGCAATTTCTGCAGCATTTCAGCAGATCTCCAGTTGAGCATCAGCAACAGAGCAACAAGAAAGCAACAGTGTTGCAATATTGCGGCTAGTATTACATAGCTCGAACACACCCATTGGTTTGTAGTTTAGAAACCTGCTTTTGAAGTTCGCGTAGAATTTGTAGGCATTTCTCATATTTATCACAATCAGTTCCACCAGTCTGCATTATCACAATATTTAGTACGTTGGAGTGGTTCAAGATGGCGGCGAGTGGTGCGGAAACATTGCTCCACATGTGACGATGTACCAGATCCAAAGAGAATCGCAAAGTCGGCAGGCGTGCTGTAAAAGAAAGAAACTTGAAAATTATTTGCGGAATGGGAGGTTGGTTGGTGGTAATGCAAAACTTTGGAGGATATTTATTTCTTTGTTGTAAATGAATAACAGCTTAAATTGGCTAAAAAAGGATTGTACTACATATACTAATACATTAGACTGGGACACGAATAAAAGTTTGTAATTACTAATTTTTGCCCTAGCTATCCGCTAACAAAAAGGCTAAGTCGCGATTTTCTCCGATTTCAAAGTAAGTGTGATGTGGGCGTTTACAGCGGAAGGTCTAGCGAGAACAAATATATAGAAGTCATATATTAAACTTATTTATAAACCAATTCGGATGCTTTTTAACAAACTTCAAAAAATGGAGGAGGCTATCAATTCGTTGGAATATTTTTTTTTTGTGTATATTGTCGCATAACTTTGGACCACGTTGACCAATTTCAGAGGTGGCTCCATACTAATTTGGTTTAGATCCGAGAATAAATTAACAATGCTCCTAATTTTTTTTTAAGTGAGAATTGAATCGGTTGTATTTTTTGTTTAAAAATTACTTGTTATAATATACACTTAGGTCGTTTTTTATGCGGTACATGCGTTCCTCAGAAAGCCGTATAAAAAAAATCCGCACAAAAAAGTTCTCTAATTTCATACAAAAACAGGGGATGCATTTCAGCATTTTCGAAAACCGCATAAATTCAGATACTCCATGTAAAAAGTTCTAAAAAAAACGCATAAAAAAATCCAGAGAGGCAATATTAAGCAAAAAAAAAAAAATTAAATTATTACTTCACTACAACACTTATTTTTCCATGTAAAACTGAACATTAATGAAATAAATAAAATTGTATCGGTATTTTAATCAAAAACAAAAAAAATACCATAAAAAAGACATGAATTATGTAAGACAAACTGTTTCTCAGAAGCATTGCCTCTTACATATTGAAAAAAAGTTATAAAAACTCTCAAACACGCAAAATCGCTACAGCGAAAAAATGGTTTGAAAAACCGCATACATTAAAATCCGCATGAAAAAGAACCGCCTAAAAAGAGACCTAAGTGTTACTGCTTAAGCCAGCATTCAATTTTTTGGCGAATAATGGCCCCGCTAGGTGGCACCAGCGTTAAGATATTTTTAAACAACCAACAACGAAAATGAGAATATTTTTAAAAGCTTTATTTATTCCCCGATTTGTTTAATATTTGGCATATTTAGTTGAAACATAGTAATACATTGATTTGCAAGAAACGAAACCGCTAAGTGGCGCTGAAGTCAAAATAAGAATTGTATTCGACATAAAATTCATGTTTTATTTGCGTTAAAAATTCGTTTAAAACAATATTAGCAACAAATTTTCAATGGAAATTTTAGATAGTTCGGCTGATAAAAAAAAAACAATAAATATTTTCACATTTAAAAACTCGGAAAAGTAACCTTAAATATTTTAAATATTTCCAGTAAGTTATCTACTTCGATCAGTTAACTTTAGTTCAATTTTCGTTGACTGGTCATGTGACAACTGTACCGCTAAAGAAACTTCCCACAATTAATTCTCATTAATACACACCCATTCGTCTGGCAGAATATTTTTTTGGAAATTCGGAGAAACGAGTCTTTCTTTACCACGACATCGCAACTTTCCCACAAAATAGATATAACATTCATAGGCTGCTCAACTTATCCGTACCTTCTCGCTGCCTTTGGATATTTCCTACTCTAAATAAAATAAGAATCCATTTGATTTCCTGCTTTTGAGGTAGCGTGGTGAGCCATAAGCCCTTATTTTCTTAATGGGTTTATTCCCGAAAAATAAAAATAAATGCATGGTCTGGAGAAGAATTACGAGTAATATCGCTTTGGGAACGCCATGCCAAGAACTATCGCAGGGTGCGTAATTATGTCTCAAGAAAAATAATTATTAAAGTGAATTTTTATTGGGGAAGCATTGACTTGCTGGAGACTAATCCACTTTCCGGGCACAATACAAAATGGCCTCGCTAAAATTAAATTAAACAAACCGTATCAGACCGTGCTGATAGCAGAATGATTGGAGAAGAAGTAGTCATCCCTTTAGTATATCTAATTTGGGTTTCTCATCTTACTTTCACTATCGGCCAAGTTATCATAGACATAATTGACCCACTCCCCATAGTTGGATGAGTCATTGTTTAAGCGCATACATAGTAAATGCATATAGTATACCTTAACCAATGCTTCATAGCTCAACAAAGCGATGCTATTTTTTTATTATCAAGTCTAGGTAGTACATCAACAGATAGGTTAATTGTATACAAATATTAAATATTTAGGTATGTTTGTTATTAATTTTGTTTGTTGATCTCAAAACTTACATTCAGCAATTAAGAGATAAGTGGCGATAACACAACCACCAGCTAGTATCAAAACAAATGTCATCATCGAAGTGACTGCGTTGAGTTCGTTGATTTGCAAATATTTGATGAAAGCTTTCGAGACAAATGATAGCGAGATATCTTTGCATTGTGGATTTTATTCGCAATTTACTACGCCTGTATTATTTATGAAGGCATTGAGACCCTGTAGAGAATGGTAAACTCTGTAAATGGCATGGGAGATTTAAATAAAACCAAGTGTTTTGTTGTATTTAGAGCATTGGATGTACTAACCTAAAAATTGTAAATTACATATTTGAGTTTTGGCTTTGGTCGAGCACAACTTCAATTCCATACAAAGAAGTCCAAGAAACAGACTTGCTGGGTTATCAAAGCGTTACCGCATAACCATTTTTTTTAACGAATTTAAATTTAGCTGGTTCTAGAGCTTCATATTTACTATCTTTGCCTGACTGCTTAAGAAGCGTTAGCGTTACAGAAGGGTTTTAAGCGCCTATGTTGCTGGTCTACAATGGTAGTTGGGTCATTTCCGCAATAAAAGCAGGGAGCACTCTGATATTCGTCATCGGTGAGGCATCGGTACAATTTGATGATGTTAGTAAGAGCCTTAACTGCAAATCTGTTGAGTTTCATTTAACCGCGACGGTAATGACCCAGAGAATACATAAGTCATTTATAAGGGGTGGAGTTTATTGATACATTTTTCTGATATGATTACTAAACTAAACTGTGGTTGTATAAAGCTGTCTGCAACTTTTATTGGCACCTCAGAGCCATACCAGGTCATCTCGTTTGCAGACTCGTTTCCTGAGAACCCAGCAAAGAGTGACAATGAGGTGGCCCTGTGATGGCACAGTTGTCTGAGAGTGGCTGAAATTCCAAGTTTCGAAATATCTTTGATTTGGATTCTATTGATTTTAAAACCGATGCTTAGCCTCTTGAAACTCACACTTTATATGCTAGAATTTAGTGAGCTACAAAACTGAGTACTTAGAATTTTTCTTAAAATAATTAATAAAAAGATCGTTGTTGTTGTGGAAATTTTTTGAAT